GGACAAGCAAACGGTTAAGTTTGGGTGAATTTGATAACGATGTATTTGCACCCTTAGTTCTTATCCGTTTGTGGGGCGTAGTCATGTATTTTTGGCCCGTTTACGCCGGGTTGTGCTACTTTGTCATATTTCAGGTCCCAGACGTTGAAGGAAAGGCTAAGCACAATTTTCGGGGCATTTGGAAGTCATTCGATCGAGCTGGGGCCAAAGCACGGGCTGGCCTAAACCAAAACACGGCCGTGTACACAAACAAGCACGCTAGTGTTTTTATTGTCGAGAGCTGAACTGATGGAAAAGCAAAACACGGTCGTGTCCATATTTAGGCACGACCGTGTTTTGGCCGACGCGGACATGTTTTTAACACGGGGCAAAACCAAAGCACGGTCGTGCCCTCGACTGTGTTTTGCCCAGGGTTGGTCTTTTAGGCAGATTTGAGCCAAAGGAGAAGGGGTTCCGAGTTTTAGAGAGACAGAGCGATTCCTAGAGAGAAAGTGACGAAACTGAGTCTTCAAGTGCCCTAGCTTGATCTTCATTACCATTGGAGCCCGGCTTGAGCTTCAAGAAGATGCGATTGAGCGCCAGAAGTAGATTATCATCCTTCACAGTATGGTTTCCGCATCTGAGCTAGATTTTCCATCTCTCTCTATGGGTAGTTTTCTTATTCATCTGGGTATGGAGAACCCTAGATTTGTATGTTAGGTCTGATTGTATGAACCCAAGTACATATTTTATGATTTGATTATATTCAATTGAGGCTTAATGATTGAATGACTTGAATCCTGATCAAATTCCTGTTGTTTCTGCTTTAACCTAGAAAGAGAATATCTGCCTAGGTTGATAGAGCACCCTTAATGGATGGTAGAGAATTGGCGACTTTGGTCGAGGAGCCAATTCACTATTCTGTACCGAAGTTACTTCGGTAGTGGAGGTTTTGTTCGTTAGGGCCTCAATCTGTTTACTCCGGTGGAGGTTAGTCGCCTGCTGGAAACTCAGATTGAGAGGGTCTGGAGACCTTTAGTCGAGACTTCATACTGTTTAAGAACCTTCCACAGTATAACTATCATAGAAATTGAACTTGGTAAATTACAATCCGGCTTAACTGCAGTCTAGGGGGAACCATATCCGGGTGACCTCTCTCGACTTGAAAACAACCGTTTAATTGCTTTGCTTGTTTGAACCTGCACTAAAGTTTCACCGCTAGATAATAAGAATTCATTGAGTAGTCATCACATCTAGGACCCGGGTTGACATTAAAGCCCAAACCCGCTATACTACGCTTTAGGAAGTGGTTACACTTGGCCATTTTCTAGAGTGACAGTAGGAGCGAGTCAATAACCTTATCGTTCTCTTCATCGATCTCAACACCATGCACAGTTACTACGAATCCCACAAATAACATGCTCGATATACAAAACCTGCACTTCTTAAGGTTAGCATAGAGTTGTTTCTGCCTCAAAGTCTTCAACACATCTCGCAGATGATCAAGATGTTCCTCCATGTTCTTCAAATAGATCAAGATATCATCGAAGTAGACAACCACAAATTTCCCAATAAAAGCTCTCAGCACGTGGTTCATCAAACTCATGAATGTGCTTGACGCCTTAGTTAGACCAAAGGGCATCACCATCCACTCGTATAAGCCATGCTTTGTCTTGAAAATAGTCTTCCATTCATCTCCCTCCTTCATACTAATTTGGTGATAGCCTGCCTTCAAATCAATCTTCAAAAACAAACTATAACCATGAAATTTGTCAAGCATATCATCTAAACGAGGTATAGGATGATGATACTTAATTGTTATTTGGTTTACTGCTCGACAATCAACATACATCCTCCACGTATGGTCCTTCTTTAGAACAAGGATGACAGGAACTGTGCATGCTCTCGCGAACATGTCCTTTCTCCATAAGCTCATCAATCTGCCTCTACAACTCCTTCGTCTCCTCTGGATTCGTCCTATAAATTGCTTTGTTTGGGATGATAGCTCCAGGAACTAAACAATTTGATGCTCTATCCCATGGATTGGAGGTTGTTATTTTGGAGCTCCCGTGAGAAAGACATCACCAAATTCTTCTAATACCACTCGTGCCCTAGGTGGTATATCTTTAATCAACTCTTGATTGAGTAACAAGCCGTTGTAGATGATCATGATCACGTTTTCACAATCATTCATTGCTTGCTTCACGTCTCCACTTTGTGCTATCATCAGTGACTTGGACTCCATGACAATAGATCCTCATTGATCACCCTTGTTTGTTATGTGAGACTCCTGCTCCTTCTCCTTCTCCCTATTTTGTTGCATTTAAATTTGATCTTCATAGACTTCTTTGGGAGATAGGGGCTTTAACACGAACTCCTTCCCACCATGCGATAATTAGTATTTCTTGGTGACTCCATCATGATGTGCACTTTGATCAAATTGCAAGGCTTTCCAAGTAAGACATGTGTCGCATGCATTGGCACTATATCACGATGGATCTCATCTTTGTATCCACCCATATCAAATCTCAATAGGGCTTCTTTTGTGACTTTGATGGCTCCATGATCGTTAAGCCATTGAAGCGTATATGGCTTGGGATGCCTCAACGTGCTCAATTGCAATTTCATAACTGCATTTGCACTTATAATGTTAGTGAAACTCCCACCATCAATCACCATTGTGAGCAACTTTCCATCTACCATGCACCTCGTATAGAAAAAATTTCTCATTATTCAAGCTCCTCCTTTGGTTGCACAGTTAAAATTCTTCTAGCCATGAGAAAACTCCTTGGTGGTGCCTCCATCTCTATCAACTCATCCACTTCAGAATCTGAATTTGTCTTCTCTTCATCCTCAGATTTTGAGACAAACTCTTCATTCTCTAAAAAAAAATACCTTGCTTGTTGGGGAATTGGTTTTCGATATGCCCTCTTCCATGACACTTGAAGCACTGAATGACTCCACTAGAGCTTGTGGGTATTTCTCTTAGTGCTTCAACCCTTGGCGCCTATTTTGGTGCTTATGGCTTCGATATGGCTGATCTGAGGTTTGAGCTGGAAGTCACTCCTAGCCTTGGTGCATTTGAGGGAGGTACGAAGCTTCTTCCAATGTTGCTTCGTTGTTGCCTCTCAACTTTGGCAGCCATTGCCACTAGATCATCAAACTCAACAAAAGGTTGGATATCCACCACATTCCTTATCTCTAGACTGAGACCTTGCAAGAATCTTGAAATGGTGGCTTCACGATCTTCCTCTATTTGTAGACTAAATAACATAAATCCAAAACAAACAAAGAAGGCAATAAAGCACTTAAACAAATCCAAGAATCACAATCCTTTTTCACTAATGAATGATCTTCCTTCTAGGTTAAGGAAATGGTATTCCTTTTGGGCTAAGGAACCCTCAAAAGCCCATTCAATCCACCACCCTCTTATCCCTTCGATCTCCCTTCGCATCCTTCTTCTCCATTCCATCTCCCAACCCCATCTTCTCCCTTTGTTCTTCTCCCACATATTGTAGCAATACAATGGTCCACGTCTATATCATCAAAATAATGATCCAAATAGCTAGCAAATTCCTCCCTTAACTTCTTATACTTAAGACGTGTAATTGGATCTTCTTGTGATGTTATGGGCTTGTCTTTGATGACCTCAACATTCCTCCTGAAGCCCCTAGGCTTCCCATTCTCAACCTTCCCTCTCCCCCTGCTGCTTGGAGTACGTATAATAATTGGCAATGCTTGCAACTTGCCATCATCATTGCCATCCCCAAATTGTTTTCCCCCATTGTAGGATGGTTCAATTCCCAACCAGACATGCCATCACCATCATTTATGATTCTTTCTCGATCAGATGGAATCCTATCCTCACCCACCACCTCTAAATCCCTTGGTCTACCTTTTTCTCCTCCGACGCTTTCCTCTTGTTAGTCACCAACCACTCTTTCAAAATTAGTGGTACTCAAGTATTTAGACTTAGTAGCGTTCAAAGACTTCCTTACTCGTCATTATGTTTTAAGGAATCCTTGTTTGAAGTTCTTCATGAAAGGCCCGGTGTCGAACTTGGTCGACGACGACTGCATTTTCAACGCTTGCGGAGAGCGGGAAGATTTGTATTTGCATTTCCTGAAGTGGAGTGGTGAGGGATGGATATGAGGATAAAGAAATCGGTAAGGGACAGTGGCGATGGAGGGGTTTCAGGGGAGAATCTGAATATGGGACACAAAATCTAGCGCGCCCACCATCCAACTCAACCATTGAACTAAGCTGGATAGCTCACATGTGATGAAAAATTATCATTTGGTACCCCTATTATTAACTTAAGAGACGAAAATTGAACTATGCAACATAAAACATATTTATATGGTTTAATTGCAACATTTTTTATGGTGGACAACATGGAGCAAAAACAATACTTAAAAGACATGGTGCAAAGAGGTTGTGTGCTTGTTGGATTCCAGATCATTGATTGGGTACCCAAATCTCAAATTTGATGGATTTAATTTTATTCATGTCTATTATTTGTTGATTGGTGTCAAATTTGTGTGGTTCATGGATTTGATCATTTTTCCGAATCCAAATTTATGTACCGCACAAATTTTTAAAGCTCACATATTATGTTGGAATTTGGTGAAAGACAAAAAAATTATTGCTGACAATTGATTATTGTATCCAATCCATTATAAATATATCAACTTATATCAACAAACAATGAAATCTTTAAATATATTTTACAAACAATCAATAAAAAATCCAAAAATTTATTTTACTCAGAAATAGGTTGTCGACCCGTGGGTTGACCCACTTTGACCCTGACCCGGTGAGAAAAATGGGCCGCACGCACCCGCTGGGTCGACCGCCACAAGGTACCGAGTTGGAGGTCAAATTGTGTCATTTTTTTCTTTGTTTTGCGAAATGCGCCTATTTTCCGTTTTTTCTTTTCGCCTAACTCAATCTTTGGAATCCTAAGTTGAACATTTGAATATTAATGTTATATAAGTGTCTGTGAATTTTCACTATATGTTGAATCTAAGTACAAAATGTTATTTTGGTGTAATATTATATGTTATAACTCATATGTTAGATGAGATTTGATATAATTTATCATGATAAGTACAATATAATGACGCTTTCCATATTTCCAGACTAAACCGAATTAAAACGGGTGATCCATTAACCCTTGACCCACTAGCTCAACCGGGTCCGGGTCAACCCACGGGCTCAATAGTATACTATCAAAAAGAAAATTGGTTTCCCGCCCCATTCCCTCCAACGTGTTCCCGCCCAAACCAAAAAAAAGGGAGGCAACGGGGACAGTGAAAGCTCTTGCTGGAGTTGAAGAAAACCGCACTATAGCGGAGAAGTCAGAAGAGGAGAGTCAAAACTTCAAAGCGCAGAGAAAATGGCTGACGCAGCTCCAACAGGCTGCTACAAGTGTGGCCGCCCCGGCCATTGGTCCCGTGACTGCCCCGATTCCCAGTCGAACCCTAACCCTAATCCCCCAACTTCTGGTTCAAATCCCAGCAACAATTCTTTCACCAGATCCTTTCCCCCGAAGTTCGGCAACAACGGCAAACCACCTCTCGCGCCGAAGCCAAAGAAGGTCCCCAGAACCAGGCCGAAGCTCACTCCCGACCTTCTTCTATCCGACGATGGCTTCGGCTTCATCCTCCGCTACTTCCCCAAAAACTTCAAGTACCGTGGCCGCGGGCGCGAGGTGTGGCTTCTCCTTATCTGGTTCTCATTCCATTTCTATTGTTTTCGACTTGGGTCGCGGTTACGCGTTTCACAGTTTCCGATTGTGAAATTTGAACTTCCGATTTGAAGACATGACGGTTAGATTTTACAAAACTTGGTTCTTTGGATTCAGATTCTCCCAATAGATTGCTTGTTACTTTACTATATGGCGGGGAATAGGGAGGAAAACAAACAACATTTTGTTACCTTCCAGTTTGTGCACTGTGTCCGCTGTTAATTTATCTGTCATTCCTTTGAAGCTATGGTGTAACTGTGATTATACAGGTTAGCGATTTGGGGCACTTGCTTAGTTTGTACAGTGAGTGGCATGAGCGTCTCCTCCCGTACTATTCATTCGATCAGTTCATACAGAGGGTGGAACGAGTGGCTGCTTCAAGGCGTGTCAAGGTTAGAAGAGCTATCTAGTTTGGCCTTTCTGCATCGTAACTTTCAAAGTGTTGGAGTGGATGATGTATTTCTGCTCTTTGGATACTTCAGAGAGACTCATTGATTATCATTTTGACCAAGCAAGCTTACCAAATATATGTGAGCAATAAATCGTCGACTGAACGCAGGTCCATTTACTGGTCTACATCACAGTAGGATATAAGTAAATCAGGAATACCTTACACCGTTCTAAGCTCTTTGAATGATGGTAATAGGGCTGGATAAGGGAAGTTACAACGAGAAGAAGCACTTGGTCTTGCCACTTGTTTTGGTCTTTACACCAAATATGTTCATTGCTGTGTAGACACACAGCATGCTTTCCAGTAACTGAATGTGAACAGTTGGCCAAATAAGTTGTGAACGTTGAAGTCTTAACAGTTGATTCACTTGTCTCATTTCATTTGACTTAAGTTGTCGTTCCCTCTCCAGAATGCATGCTTATCCTCTAAAGACTGCCGTATGTACAGAATACAGTAGCTCTGTTCAGTTTAAAGGGCAAAACCACCAAAAAAAAAACCTGCTACCACTAATTGTCAGGATGGTGACTACCCAAAAGTGAGGAATTGCTCTCTTGATCCACGACTTCCCAAGTTCTTAGAAATAAATGTGCATATTTTTTATGCTGGAGCCTAGACATTACTGCCAAAGTTGCATTATTTTGTTTATATTATGAAGAGTTCGTGGATTGTGGGTATGCATTCCTCTAAACATGGAGATTGGAGAAGACCCTTACGTTTCACCAATATTGTTTCAGTCAGTATTTAATATGACATGCATTTCCACTTTTTCTAATGTGGCTGGTTTCTTCTATCTTTGCTATTCACATAATTTGCTTGCTTGCACAGGAGGCTTATTATTGCAGGAAGTATGCATATATTTTATGTACAAAATGATGTCCAAGTCAATTGAATCTTCGTGTTTTTGCTCTGTTGTGAACAGACATGTATTTCAGCTATAAGAGATAAAGTTGCCCGTGGGGGGGATCCAACAAAGTTGCATGAATCGCCGGCCGAGAATGATAATCTAGATGAACAAGGTATCTTGACCATGTCACTCATTTTGAATGTGTTGATGTAGCTGTATTCTATCATTCAATTCAATTGTATTTCTTTTCCTATAAGCTCATTCATGTTTATTATTGAATTTGCATAGATCTTTCAACTCCTGCTGAAGGCATGAATTCTGAGGGGTTTCATTGTGAGGCACAACCATCTTCGGGCAACCATGGGGCTGAAGCTGTGGAAGAAGACCTATTTCAAGACATTTACGAAAGAGCTACTGATGTAAGTCCCATTTTCCCCAAACTTCGTTGGGTTTTTGGTTGTCTACTATCTCTGTAGTTGTTAGTGTCACACAGGGTTGCATGACATGTATTATAGCTTAGGGCAAAAGCCTACCACTAGTTCAATATCCTGGCTTCTGTTGATCTGCAAGTAGACCTGATGAGGAATCTCAAATTCTCTTGCCTGCTGTAAACGGAACTTTCTATCTGGTGCTACCATCCCAGGACCTTAAATTCTGTAATGACAAAAAAAATCCAGAAAAGCTAAAAAAAATTGGCGTTTAGTTGATGGGACTCAATAATGTTGTGATGCGATTTGATGCCTTCTCAAAGTGTTTCTTAATATCCGCTGCTCTATATATTGATCTCATATATTCTGTTTACATTGTTGCAGCCTCCATCTCGCACCACAGGATCGGGGAGTGGGCCCCAAGTAAATGATAACAATGGATCCAGCAGCAGGAATGAAGCTGCTGAGATCACAGAAGAACAGAGAGCTCGTATTGAAGCAAACAGGTTGAAGGCACTTGAAAAAGCTGCCGCTCGCAGACGATTGCAGCAGCAGTCTGCCTCATGACCGGTGAACCAGACCACCACCCTTTCCATTGTCCTGGACCCTACTTTAGCAAGCCGTTCGATCAAAAGAACGCTGCAAAATCTCTATGTTCTTGTATTTATTTATTTTTTTATGAATTTGGGACTAATATCAATATGATGTAGAAGATTGCTATCACTGAAGATTAGAGAAGGAGACAGTTTGGTTAGTTTCAGTTGTATTTGAAAGAAGGAAGAGGGGGGGAGTTCATGTCCTTATGTTGGCCACATCAGCGTATTTCAAGTAGGGCATCATATAAGCTACGCTGTTCATGAGCGGAGTGATATTTGATTTGAGAAAAAGTTCGTTAGGTGTTTGATTCGATTGCTAATGATTCGAACTTGAGCTAAGTCTTTTTGAATTCGTGAGACTTGTTACTTGTGAGTCACCTCAATTCGGTGTTTCGTTGAGTTTAACTCATTAGCTTATTAGTTTTGAGCTCATGAGATGTCTCAATATTGTAATGATTGAGTCAATTAGACAACCTATTTATTAATGAATAGATGAGTGGGCTTGTTGATAATTCATAGCTTTGTTAAATTATATATCTCATTTCATATAATATACTTTTAGTATGTGAGCAAATATGTCCCATTTGGATTTATAGGGGTCGTTTGGATGGATTAATTATCAATGTGGTATTTGTAGAGTCAAGAAACTCATTAATTATTCATGTGGTATTTCAGCGGTAATTCAATTAAGGTATCTCGTTTGGTAAAACCATGCATATGTGGTATTTGACAAAAACATAGGAGTAAAACGAATTATTTCAAAATAACACAAGGTAGGAATTATTTCAAATAAATAATTGAGTTATTTGTAAATAACTCACTGCCGAAATATATAACTCATTTCAATAAAATGTTATCAAACAATTTTTGGTATCCAAATAGCTTATTGTTAGTTATTTGAACCCAAATATCTCACTCAATATTTGGCATTGAAGTAATATTTGGCATGATGAGTTGATGTGGGTTATGTTGACGACAATTGAACAATTAGTATAGAATGTGTAAGGTTCGAAATTCCAATTAACCATTTATAAATACTACCTAAAATAAAACAATTTTGTAACTTACCCAAGAAGGCGGGTCAGATCCTTTGTTTTATCCTATAAGTTTAATAAATAGGTTTCTTAAGTTTTTCCTAACCATTAGGAAGAGGAGAGAGAGCTAACAACCTATAAGAGAAAATGAGGTATTTTAAAATAAAATTGTCCTCTCCCCTCTCCGTAGTGACTTGCAATAGCATTATACACAATTTCCTGCAAGTATACATATCGTATCAAGTAGTATAGTTTCAAGTAGAGTATCGTACCCACGAAGACTAAAGTTCTCTCAAATTTGCCAATCTCAACTCTTATGATGATTCAAAATCTCAATTTTTCACAAGTTATATTTTTAGGATGTTTTCAAATTTAAAGACGAAATAGATTTAACACAAGGTAATAAAATGTAGAGAAATTTATGGTTTAAAGCTCTAGAGCATTTTCGAGAATTTCATAAAACATCATAGGTTATTAGAATATCTATTAATCATTTTAATCTCTTAATCCTATCATCAAGGTAATCTCTGAAATATGATTTTCCTGGCCTGGATGAAATCACGTACTACTTTAAAATCCAATTTCCACGACTTTCGTAGAGAATACAAATTATAAAGTAGGATGAAGGACGATTACCTCAGGTTATGATCGCACAATACCTAATTTTCACTATTGCTTCGAAAGGTATTTATGAGGTTGTGTTGATGTTATATCGCTGAGTTTTCCGGTTAAGTACTTGTTGGGGACAACATGTCGATAAATTGGTGGCCAAATTCAGCTTTTGAATAACAACTCCTTTTGTAAGTGCACGAAATTGATGGCCGACTCTTTTCTTTTTCATTATCATACATATGTGTATTGTTTATTTATTTTTAGAGTGGCAAAATTTTATTTTTTAGAACAACACTTTTAGAAACAATTTCTCCTCACATTCCATAGTCATTTTGATATAATAAGCATAAAGTCATATGTTTAAAGGATTCCAATGGAACCTTGAAAAATTGTTCAAATTAAATTGGCTTGAAGACAAGGATTGGTTTAAAACAAGTTGTCACCGAACAAATAGGCTCGTCTCAACTAGTTTTGACTAGGGAATATGAATTTTCGGGTAGTCATTTGGGCAATGGGGTAAACCTATGCACCCATCATCCTTATTAGTGGTTTCACGACTCAAATTTTTGCAATTTTCAAGCATAGCTATCATGCAAAGAGGATCTAAACACACAAGAATGAAACGATCAGACTCAAATCTCACATAGTTTCATATGATTTTTGCCATCTAAGGAAGAGTAACACGAGACACATTGTTTCTAATCCCTCTGTCGTCATAATAGGTTGCTATACATCCAAATCACAACAATAATGTATCAAAATCTATTATCATGACATTCAAATCAAAACAAAACAAAGGATACCCACTATTTTTATTAAAAAACACACAATTTATTCACAGGAATAACCGAGAAAATTTTGAAAATTTGAAAATTTTGAAAAATGGAAACAATCATATATTTATGCAGTTGTAAACACTTCCTCCCACACTTAATATAGACATTGTCCTCAATGGATAGGAAGAGTGACTTACCTTCGTAAAAGATACGACATGATTAATGATGTTTTGCTCCTCGGTGGTTCTCTGAATAAAGCACACAACAACACAAACACACAAAAATAAAATAAAAAACATAAATAAATCAAACTTTGGGTTGCCTCCCAATTAGTGCTTCTTTAACGTCGTATTAGCTGGACACTACTCAACATTTCTTCATTTCAAATGAACAATGGTGGGACTTGGTATGGTAAATTCAGAAAGATATGGTTAAGTCTTTGTCCATTTACTTTAAATATGCCATTTTCACCTTTCAATTCAACAAAACCAAGAGGATAAACACGAGTAATAATGAAGGGACCAAACCATCTAGACTTTAATTTTCCTTGAAAAGGTTTAAGACGGGAGTTAAAGAGTAATAACTTATCAACTACCTTGAAGTCTCGTGGCAAAATATGCTTGTTGTGCCACCTTTTTGTACGTCTTTATATATTCAAGCATTGTCATATTAAGTCAGACGAAATTCGTCGAGTTCTTTCAGTTGTAGTAGACGTTTCTCACTCGCTAACTTCAGGTCTAGGTTGGGGAATTTCATTAACCGAGAAAGGTGGTCAACAACCAAATTTGCTTTACCTTTCTTATCATGAATTTCCAAGTCAAATTCCTGCAAAACTAACACCCATCGAAGCAAACATGGCTTCACATCTTTCTTAATGGTTGAATGATCAGTGTAGACTATTGTCTTGGATCCCATCAGATATGATCAAAATTTGTCAAAAGCAAAGACAATAGCTAATAATTCCTTTTCAGTCGTGGTGTAGTTAAGTTGAGCATCATTTAGCAACTTACTCGTATAATAGATAGCATGTAGCTTACCATCTACCTTTTGCTCAAGTACCGCGCCAGCAAATCACTTGCGTCACATATTAATTCAAATGGAAGACCCAGTCGGGTGTCTCCATAACTGGTGCCGAAGTGATCTCTTTCTTCAATTTCAGGAATGCTTGCAAACAGGCATCTGTAAAGACAAATGTTATATATTTTGCAAGCAAATCACAAAGTGGTTTAGAAATTTTTGAGAAATCCTTAATGAAACGCCGGTAAAAACCAGCATGTTCCAAAAAACTTCTTATTCCTTTGACTTTGGTAGGAGGTGGTAGTTTTTCAATAACTTCAATTTTCGCGCGGTCCACCTCAATACCACGTGAAGAGATACAGTGGCCAAGTACAATTCCTTCTGTTACCATAAAATGGCACTTTTCCCAATTTAAAACAAGATTTGTTTCTTCACACCTTTGGAGGACCTTGGCTAGGTTGGAGAGGCAATGGGCAAAATTTGAAGCAAAGGTCGAGAAATCATCCATGAATACTTCCAAATTTACCACTACCATCTCCGAGAAAATTGCCATCATACACTTTTGGAATGTGGCAGGGGCATTGCATAAACCAAACGACATCCTTCAGTAAGCATATGTCCCCCTTGGACAAGTGAACGTCATCTTTTCTTAATCATTTGGGGCAATTGGATTCTGGAAATAACCTGAATAGCCATCCAGAAAACAATAGAAAAAGTAGCCTGCAAGATGTTCGAGCATTTGGTCAATGAAAGGTAATGGAAAATGATCTTTTCGTGTTGCCTTATTCAATTTGCGATAATCAATACAAACACGCCATCCCGTAACAGTTCGAGTTGGGATTAGTTCATTTTCTCATTTTTGACAACTGTTATACCTCCTTTTTTTGGAACTACTTGCACATGACTTACCAGGGACTATCAGAGATAGGATAGTTGATACCAATGAACCGCATGAACAAGACCATGTAAAATTTCATGGGAAGAATGGATGAAAAATGGAGCAAGCAAGACCAAACAAATATAAACCTTCAAGCATCCATCTACAACATTAAACAACAGTTGGGCCAACTATGAAACGAGGTACAAAATAGGCCAATGGGCACTCTCCCATCCAACACAGTCATCAAACCAAGGGATGGCAAGTTGTGTGCTGTAACACTCAAAGACAGCAACATGATGAAGATGAAATACCAATAGATTTCACCAATGAAATGAACGTCTTGTCACCAGCAACTGAAGTACATACCAAAGTTCCAATTGGAACTCTACCATCGGTGGTGCAACCACCAAAACTTGAACTGAAACCATTACCTACCCACCTCAAATATGCCTATCTGGGCCCAAACTCTACTCTTCCTATTATTGTATCTTCGTCTCTGTCTTTGGAACAGGAAGAAGAATTGTTGCATGTGCTGCGAAAACACATCAAGGCAATTGGATTGGATGGACAATTGCAGATATAACGAGCATCAGTCTCGCATTTTGCATGCACAAAATTCTTATGAAAGAAGGCCAAAAACTGACCATTGAATATCAACGACGTTTAAATCCAAACATGAAAGAGGTGGTTCACAAAGAGGTGATGAAACTTCTTGATGCATTGACATGGGCATCTCTTCCATGGCTGACTTCTTCTCCTGTTCAAACCTAGGTGGGGCTTTATTGACAACTTGATTGTTGTTGTTGCTCGAGGAGAAATTGGGATGATTTCTCCATCAAGGATTGTAAGTGTTGGTGTAGGCTCCATTTTCGTTTGGACCATGAATGTTCATATAGTTGACTTGCTCAACTGATGATGAAGAAGATGAGGCGAGCATCGGGCATGTGGATTGGTGCAGATTTCACAACTTGCTACTGGTAGTTTTGAAACACCAGTAGTTATTTGCATCAGGTTTGTTGTCAAGGCATCGATTTTTGCATTGAGCGCTGAAATTTGATCTACGGCATGGATGCCTCCTTTCTTTGTTATGGTTCTTTCAAGCCATTGTGTTGAGGAGATTGAATGTTTTTGTTGCTCCAAATGCCATGAAAGATCCATCAAATGAGGAATTTAGATCTATGCGC